CAGGGGGTTTCAGAGCAGAAGTCATTAACCTTGGCACTACCGACATTGTGGGTCACGTAATTCTTTGTTATGGTGCTGTCCTGTGTACTGTAGGATGTTTAGTGGCATCTCTGGCCTCTCCCCACTAAATACTGGTAGAACCTACTCTCCCCTCCCTCCCCTTCAGGTTGGGACAAACAAAAATGCCTCCAGACATTGACAAACGTCTCCAGTAGGGCAAATCCACCCTCAGTTGAGAATTACTGTTTTAGAGAACTCATTGGAATCTCAACTCTCCTCTTGTTGGCTGGGCATGTCACCTTGCCTCACTAGAAACTGAGCACAATAATATGCATCCCATGAGGCTGTTATCACGATCCCATAAGGGGCCTAAAGCACCCGGCACCGTGCGGGTGCTAGATCCATCCCCAGCGGCGAGGGGCAGCGTGGTGCGGTGGCTCAGGGCATGCACTCCGGAGCCCACCCACCTGCGGGGACATCCTGGCTCGGCTCTTTCCTCGCTGGGTCACCCTGGGATCTTACACTGCCTCAGTGTCCTCATCTGTGAAGCAGAGATGATAATAATTATACCCACCCCAAGAACCGTGGTGAGGATTAAACAGGTGGCTGTGTGGAAGCCCGGGGAATAGCGTCTGGGACGTGAAAAGTGCTCAGCAGAGGGGGGCTGGCTGTTCTCGTGATGCCTCCGCTGTGTCCTGGTTGCTGGAGGAACATCTCTTCCTCCTGGGATCCCTCCGGCTGTGCTCCTTCTGCCACCTTTGCAGCTAACTTGCACCCGGGTTTGAGCTAGGGAGCTGCTGCCAGAGGCTTCTGCTGGGCTGTGGCGTCCACCGTCCCTGATGCCGCGTCAGGACGTTGCCTCCGTGCTGAGGCTGTCAACACTGTTCAGAGACTTCAGGCACACTGCTTGTGCATTTCAATGATCGCGTTTCACTGGAGTCCAAAGTGGACCTGCCAAAGGTCCCCGCCCCCTGGACTGGAGACTCAGGGACCCGAGAAGTGAGCCTCAGGCAATTACATTCTGTTTCTCCATTGTTGTTTTTGTTCCTCTGATACAGCCACTTGTCCAAACTCTATTAACACTTGGTGTTGGCTGAAGCTTTTGTTTTCAAATGTGTCAGCAAATGGCAGGGCCCAGAAGAGGTGCGAATCCATCTGGAAGGGTCACAGGGCACTTGATGGCTGCATTTGCGCTTGGCAGCTGTGCTGGCTTAGCATCTCTTAGAGCAATGTCGAGAAATGCAAGAAAGAGTATAGCCAGAAGAAGGGACATACCCCCCTGCCCCTCGTGTTCATTCATTTTCCTTCATTTTCCTTCAGTCCAACAAGTATTTATTAAGAGTTCGATAGATATTGATTGCACTTTTCTTGTGGTACAGGCACTGGAAATTCAGTGGTCAACAAGACAGACTCAGTCTCCAACCTCACTGAAGCTGGAGGAAAAGGCAGGGCATACGTGCAGTGTATGTGAAATTGGGTGTGATATCAGCAGTGGGCTGGTCAGGGGAGCAGGGACTTTGGACTGTGGTCTGAGTTTGAATCCACTTTCTACCATTTTCTGGCTGTGTGGCCATGTGCAAGTTCCTTAATCTCTCTTTGAGTTTCTTATATGTTGCATGGAGGATAATACCTTGGAGGGTTACTGTGAAGATTAGACAGTCTGGTATAGGTAAAGTGCTAGGGATTTTATCTGCCTCGTCTATCACTGTAACCCCAGTACCCAGAACAGTTCCTCGCACACATGGTAGATTTGCATGGAGACCTTGTACGAAGGGGAGGCTGGGGCGGGTATTTGTGGGGACAGCGGACAGCCCGAGGGGCTGCGGGTAGGCTCCCCCACTCCTCTATCTTCTGTGGGCAGACAGTTGCCAGGGTGAGGCAGGCTATGATTTCTTCCTCTTGCTTTTCTGCCATTTCCATCCCTCATTTGGAACTTGGGCGTGGTTCGGCCCCTCTCACACTGGTCAGAAACAAACTGAGGGTCACAGATAAGCAATCAAACCTAGCAGGGTGGCATTTTGGTTTGAAGTTTCCTGTTAGTCATCTAGAAAACCTAACAGAATTGGGTATTCAAATGCAAAGCCACTTCCTTTGTCAGTACAGTCTGCTCTGCTCCAAATGGAGCCTTAAGAGGCCCCTGTGCAAAGGCAGAAATACAACTATAAATTAAATGGCCAAGTCAGTTACTTTCATTTTCATAATCAGAGAGTCCTCGGATCGAATATAGACTTTCACGTTGAATTCCCAGTTTCAAGATCCGTCCGAGGCATCTTAAGCCAACCGATGGCACCTTCTTGCCTGACATTGGGGGTGAAGGAAGAGATTCCTGAGGAAAGCCGGGAGGAGACTGTCAGAGAACAAGACACAGTCACCCCCAAGTACCTGACAACACCCCAGATCTGCCAGCGCCCAGCAGCTAGTGCATTCTGTGCACGGCTTCCTTCTGTCACCTGCACTGCTCTGTCCAGCCCCATGGGCAGAGCCCCAAGCAGACCTCTGTGGCTGGAAGACAGGGAGTAGAGTCTGCCAAGGGAGGACACCAGCAAACTGGAGCGTGTCCAAATGACGGTGGCCTGCTGCGCTGGGAAATTAGGCCAAGTGTGGCGGGAATGAAGAAGCAGGCGTGTTTATGCAGGACGAGAGAGGAGAGAGGCCTCAGCGTCCCCTGAGAGCCCTCTCTAGGTTTGCTTTAGGGCAGAGGATTAATTTTATGCAGCGTTGACCAACAGGGCCATTGGTTGTAAACCGCAAGGAAGCAGATTTAAAGGTGACATAAAGCTCTGAAGGATTGTTCAGAAGTGATGCTAATAAAAAGAAAAGTGACTACCGTTTATTGAGCACTTACTGTGGCCACACATGAAGTCACGCCTTTTATAGGCATTAATCTCAGCTGAGCCTCCTAGGAATTCTATAAGGTAGGGACTGTCATCTCTTGCATTCTACAGCTGGAGAAACTGAGGCTCCAGGGGACGAAGTTGCTTGTCCAGGCAGGCTGCCCCCGGGTGCCCCAAAGACACCCCTCTTCCAGTGGACACGGCACTGGGACAGGGTGCAGGCCTTGGCGAGTGGATCACAGGTTTGGTGCTAGGCTTCACTGCCCTCCTGGCTGGGTGGGCTTGTGCAAGGCACAGCCTGGGCAATTGCACCCTGCTGCCCTGGGCTTGAAGCCAGAGCCAGTAAAGGACAGAACTGGCCTCAAGAGCCACATCTGTCTGACTCCAGAGACACTGGCTCTGAACTCGCAAGCTTTATCGTCTGCCAGGACAGGGACTTTCCATCTTTCTGAGCGCCCATAAAGGGAAGTTAGGGATGTAGGGCTGGCCTGCAAGGGGGAGGGGAGGACACACTGTGCTTAATTCCATTTAAACACCCTAATAACCTTGTGAAGTAGCTACTGTTAACATCCCCATTGTAAGAAAGTGAGACCCAGAGAGGTGAAGTCACTTGCCCAAGATCACACAGCCATAAATGGCAGAGCTGGGGTTCCTTCAGAACCCCTCTGCTCTCTTTGATGTGGTTTAGGCAGACGAGTTGGGGAGTGGGGGTGGAGAGTGAGGAAGGAGGGAAGAGGGAGGGAAGGAGATAAGTGGAGAGGGGGAGGAGATGAAAGGGGAGCTCCAGCCTGGAGGTGGCGCTCTGCAGTGTCCATTGGGACACTGGTCACTAGTGCGCCTCACACTGCTGTCCTCAGCCTCAGAGTTAAAAAGAGACAACTGCGGGGACATGTACCCATGGAACAGTGGTCAAGAGCATGGGCCTGCACTCCCAGCCAGCCCCAGCACTCTGTGACCTTGGACAAGGTCCAAGGTTAACTAACCTCTCTGTGTTTGAATTTCCGCATCTGAAATTTGGAAATCATAATACCTCCCACCTGGAAGGAGAATTGTGGGGATTAAATGAGTAAGTGCATGTGGAGAACTTAGAACCTTGTCCGGCATGTAGTGTTTGATAAGCACTAGTTTTTCTTACTGGAGTTAGCGCTGGCAACCTTCCAGATAACCTTGACTACATTGTCTTCTTTGTTGGGAGGAGTAAGCACCTGTTTAGAGCGGAGTCTTCTTATCTTAGCTCCCCACCCAACCTGGTGGGATGGGTAGGAGATGGCATAGCAATGCCTGCTTGAACCAGACCACAGGGTAGGTGAGGCTGTTTTGCAGCCGTCACCTGCTAGAGTGGGTTTGGAGGATTCTGGAAATGCAGCTACCGCCTGGCATGTGGGCAGCAGCCGGGCCAAGGGCCCTCCTGGTGGAGCTCGGCAGAGGTACGGGGGCAGGGGGCTGAGAGAGAATCCATGGCCCCACATGTGGGTCCCACGTGCCACCTGGTGTCCGCTCTTGGCACCTGCGCTGCCCCAGCCCCGCGGGTCCTTCTGCCTAATTCTGCCTTTTGCTTACTGTATACGGAGCACCATTACGTGGCGGGCTCGTCACCTGCTGTGAATCTCCTTCTTGCTCCCTGTGACTTTTGCCACAGATCCCCGGGCCATCTGAGTTGGAGCTCAACCCTGCAGCTGGCCAAAGGTGGGCACAGGCTTTCAGAGGCCACAGCGCCCTGGCCCTCCTGCCTCCCTGCTCGCTAGCGCACCTCTCGTGCGTAGCACAGCGCCTCACCCCACTTCCAGCGCTTAGGGGGTAGTTGTTTCTCTGCAATTGCGGCAAAATACACATGACATACAATTTGCCATTTTAACTGCCTGGTGCATAGTAAGAGGTCAGTCCACAGTAAATGATATTAACAGCCTCCTTGTCACTACTTGTCACTCAGGCTGGAGCGTGGGACCTGTGCAGAGGAGAGGTCAAGTTTGGGTAATACCTGGAGGCCTTTGGGAGCCAGGCTGGGGCTGGATTAACCCCCGTGGTGGGCGGTAGGTGTCTGGGCTGGTTTTGTTTGGTCCACATGGGCTGTATGGGCGTGGGACAGACTCGCAGCAGGGATAGCAGGAAGGAGCCGGGATTCAAGGTGACCGGGGATCTCACCTGGCCTTCTCTTCCATTTCACAGCCATATACAACTTCCAAGGCAGTGGGGCCCCCCAGCTCTCCCTGCAGATCGGCGATGTGGTGCGAATCCAGGAGACCTGTGAAGGTGAGTCGCCCACTCCGCACCCTGGGCTGATGGAAGCCCACCATACCTTCCAGAACCCTCCAGCCCTCCCCTTGAACCTGCAACTGTGGTGGTCTGTGTACATACATTTTGCTAATGCTAGTCATGAGAATATACTGAACCAAATTGCTTTTTCATTTTAGAAACGTGTGCTTCACAGCGAACACCTCACTGGGCGGTGTGAGGTCTGTTACGCTCCTCTCCGTTTGTCACAGCCATGGGACTGTTTGGGCCTGTGACTTTTTCTGAATACACTTCTTTATTAGTATCAATACTATTGTAAAGGAAAATAAGCATTATTAGGGTGTGGAAGGGTCTCCTAAATCATAGCCCGATTCCAGGAGAACTGCTGTGCATAGTTGTGTGTTGTGTTTACTGCACAGAGACACCCAGCCCAGGGAGCGGGAGCCAGGCCCTTCTTCAGGCCGGGAGCTCTGTCTTGGGCAAAGTGGCGTCTCTTCTTTTTTCCACAAAGGTGCCATCCCCTTGAGGAGCCGAGTGTCCCTGGGCTGTGTCCACCGTGTTGCTGGTGGTGGTGTAGGGAGTGCTTTTAAAAATTTGCACAAAGGCTAATGGCCTTGGAGTCATGAGTGAGGCAATTGAAACTCAATATATCACCCATGTCACTGATAAACTTGATATGGGGAGCATGAGCTTGCTGACGTGTCGCTGAGAATCAGGCAGGCTCTCCCACCCCTCCCTGGCCCAGCTGGGCTACGATGGTTCTTCCCCTGCCCAGCCTGCCTGTGGCTCCTACTTCAGGGAGGGCACTGTATGCGTGTTCCCTGTGGCTTGGCAGAGCAAAGGAGAAAGAGGAGAGGAGTGGGCTGAGCACCTGCCTGCCCCCGGCCCCAGCTATTCCATCAGCTCATCCTGGGAAAGGAGCGAGGTGCTGGTAGGAGGCAGGTGTGAAGGAGGGGGAAGCAGGGGGCTGCTGGAAGGGAGGTGACCTACGGGAATAGCCATCTCTGGTCCTTTCTACAAGCCAGACACCGTGCTAAGTTCTTGATAACACATTATCCTACTTACTCCTCATAGCAACACACAGGACAGGCAGTATCATTTCCAGGGCTGGAGTAGCTGTGTGCAACTTCCTAGGGGACGGAGCCCTCCGGCTCTCTCTGCAGATTTGTGCAGGGATGCTTGTGCACACACACACATACACACACACGTGTGCACGCGCACACAGGCATGGACACATGCACAAACATGCACACACATAGACATGAAGACATACATAGACATATATACATGCACACAAACAGAAACACACATACACTTACACTCAGATAGATACAAACCAAAAAACAAGCAAACAGAAAACCTTTTTTTGGGGGAACTGATTTGATATTTGATCTTTTGAAAAACATTTAAAGGAGTCATCATGGGGGGGGATTGAGAACTTTGTTCACTTTTCTTACATTTACTTTGTGCTTTTGCATTATTTTTACTTGGGGTTATGTGTGAGAGGATGTCATACTCTTCAGTCTCCAGGCCTGGGAAGATCCCAGTCTGGACCCATGAAATCCTTATACGCACGAGTGGAGGGGAGTGGCATAGGGCTGAGGGGGCGCTTCCCAGGCAGCGCAACCCTGTCTTGCACAAATCCAATTCTGCCCAGAGGCAGCAAAGCAAATTGTAGGTGTCTATCAAGGGTGAAGAATGAGAATAAAAACAGCAAAAACCCTTTCAGTGTCGCTTATGTGCTACTGAATGCTAATGCTGAGAAACAGGCATGATTGCAGGTGAGGAAACTGAGGCTCAGGGACGAGAAATGACTCACCGCAGGTCACATGGGGGGCCAGTGGCTGTTTTCTGACGCCTAAGCCCGTGCCCTTTCTTTCACCCGTGCCTGCAAAACAATGGAAAGGCCTTGCCCTGCATTTCAAAATTCAGATGGGTATTTTTCTCTTCTTTTTATTCAGTTTCCTTGGCTAGAAAGCTGCAGGCAATAGACTAAGCACACGAACTGTCTGTGGTCAGAGCCTAGCCGGTATCTTTGCCTGACTTTGTACCGCGACCTTCAGGAAGCCTAGGCTGGTGGCCTCAAGCCACCTTCATTCGTCTTTGGGACATCTTTATTCTTTCTTTGGTTCTGTTTTTCCATTTTTAATTCAATTTTATTAGTCTTGCATTAATGTATCCTTGTAATAATCAGCAAATGTGGAAACAGCCCAAGTGCCCATCAATCCAAGAATGGATTAATAAAATGTGGTATATGTATACAATGGAGTACTATTCAAGCTCTAAGAAACAACGGTGATATAGCACATCTTATATTTTCCTGGTTAGAGCTGGAACCCATACTACTAAGTGAAGTATCCCAAGAATGGAAAAACAAGCACCAGATATATTCTCCAGCAAACTGGTATTAACTGAGTAGCACCTAAGTGGACACATAGGTGCTACAGTAATAGGGTATTGGCAGGTGGGAGGGGGGAGGGGGCGGGTATTTACATACATAATGAGTGAGATGTGCACCATCTGGGGAATGGTCATGCTGGAGACTTGTGGGGGGAGGGGGGGAAATGGGCATTTATTGAAACCTTAAAATCTGTACCCCCATAATATGCCGAAATAAAAAAAACAAAAACAAAAAAAACAAAAAAAAAACCTTGCCGGAAGGAGCTGGGTGTATTAATTTGGTAAGTGGCTGCTAATTCACAAATCCATTGAAAATATAATATTTAGAAGTCTGCTAGAATTATTCTAGCTATCTGAGGGACTAGTATGTGAATCTTTAGGATTTCTCATGCCCACAGTCATGCCCATACAGAGTTTCAAACTGGGATTTATGGGACCCTAAGGTGTCTCCAGGGGCCTTGGGTGGCTAATGGAAGCCGGGCCGCAGAGGGGTCTGAGACCAGGCCTGGTGGCGTCTGCTTTGCAGGTGGGGAGTTTGGCCTGTGATTCTGGTTGAAAAAAGTGATTCCTTCAAAAATATAAAAAATGTGAACATCACAGTGTGAGTCAAAAATTAGTCAAAACTGTGTAGGAGAAAGAACATGGGTGTGCCCATGAAACCCTCTTATGGAAAAACTACTTGAAAACCAAAATTCAGCCAACTGATGAGTCAAAATAAAAGAATATTGGATTGAAATGCTGTGATAAAAGGAAATTGTGGTGAATGTTGAGTCCGAATCAATCCATGTATAAAAATTGGTATTAAAAGTCATGATATTTATGTCTGCCATAAAGAATGCTATTGTTAAGAACCTGGACAATGAAAGAAAGTCTAATGATATGAAGAAATGAGAGGAGAATGGGAGGGAATAAATAACTCCATGGCATCACTTCTATAGCATAGAGTTGATCAGTATTAGAAATAAAACGTGTGACTTTTTAAAAAACATGACCATCCCCATCTTCTGATGCTTTTCATAATTATTTTCATTTTAGAGGAGTTTTTAGGAAATCTTTTTAGAGATGAAGGAACATTTAATCAAAATTTATTTCCTTTAATTTACTTGATTTTTTTCTTCTGTTAAATACAAATAAGATTAAATTTAAGATTTCTATTTATATGGTATCTTTACTATATGTTCATTTTTATGAGAGTATTTTAAAAATAATATTTTATTTGTTTATCTGTCATTCTATCACTATAAATATAAGTGAAGAGTTGACTGGTATGATATTAATAGCATTTTTTTCTGTGCAATGGGATTCAGGATAATTTTTAAGTCCTTTATGTTTGTACATTTCTATTTAGTTTAAATTCTCTACAATAACATATCAACTTTAGACAAAAAAAAAAATACACTCCTAAAGATTGGAAGCAAATATCCTCAGATGTTAGAAATGATTAATTCTGGGTAATTGGAATGTGAATGATTGTTATTTTATTCTTTGTATTTTTCAGTAGTTTTTAAATATTTTAAAATATATATATGTATTTTTTTAGAGACTGGGGTCTTGCTATGTTGCCCACCCTGGTCTCAAACTCCTGGGCTCAAGCAGTCCTCCTGCATCTGCCTCCCAAGTAGCTGGGATTACAGGTGTGTACCACCACATCTGGTTTTCAATAGTTTGTAAATCTCCCCCACTATCCCCAGTAAAAGAAGTGGAAAGAGCATTGGCTTTTGAATTAGAAGTTATTTCCTGCTTCCATTACCCATTAGCTGAGTGATCTTAAGTAGGTAAGCTTTAGTTTTCTTATCAGTCAAATGGGTTATCATCACCTTGCTCCTCAGCTTATTATGAAGATAAAATGGGAGAAAGCAGAGAAGCTGTCTAGCACCATGCCTGGCTCTTTGGAGGGGCTCTGTGTTGGTTAATTCCACCCTTCCCTCCATTACGTAGGGCAGCATTGAGACTGGCAGATATATATCTTTAAGATGTAGTGCAGGTAAGCTGGAAGCTGAATCTTTGATGGGCTGGAATAGTGAGGCTAGCCTTTCCTTGCCTACATACGAACTCTACTCAGCTGGATGACTGGGGAAAACAAAAACCTGATCTGGGTGTTTAGACATGGATGAATTTCACTTCCTATTATAAAGATAATATATTGTTGTGATAAAAACTCACATAGTTTAGAAGGGTACCCAGTGCTCGACCTTCGACATCCAATTGCTATTTTATCTCTCAGGCTGCCTTTTCTGTCCAGAGGCAGCATAAGCGTTCTGTGTCCTGATTTTGGATGTGTAAAACAATGCAAGTGCATTGGGCAGTAGGAATTCCTCATGGAAGGGACAAACATAAAAAAGCAGTGACTTTTTTTCCCGAATCACTTCCTCTAGTCATATTTGGTTGACATCTTTCCTGATATTTAAGGACATCAAAAGACCTCAACCTCATATCAGTGTACTGCACACCCACTTCTTCCCTTTCCCCAGCTTAATCAAGGGCTGAGGAAGGAGGAGGTTTGGGGTGCTCTCTCTCCAGTTCTTTGTCTTCCCTACTCAAATAAGTCCAGTGGTCACACAGTCACTGTGCAAAGGGCCATGTAGCTGGGGAATGAGATGCCAGATGTCCCTGACATC